TTCGTGGCTAAATGCGGCTAAAGTAAACAGTCTCATGAGAACAGCTGGTCACTCCACGGAAGAGAGGGGCGGGGTCAGCAGAGCTCATTAGCATTTAAAGGGACATGCACCAAAACGGGTCGCTGTGAACGGAGCTGTTTTTGACGGTAAAAAGGGTGTTGTTTTACACTACCATTGAGAAATTTTAACCAAAGCATGTTATAGACTTTTCATTAAGACCCTAAAGAATCATATCAACTTGTGGAAAATGGGCATCTGATGACTCCTTTAAAGCTCTAGGGGTAAGAATCCGCTCGTCTCGAATGATTGACAGCCGAGACAACCATTCAGTAGTGACCTACGAGAGTAAAAACAAGACGGAGAGCAGCAAAGAGAATATATATATATATATACCCAAAACACAACTCAATGTCGTACAAGGACGTAACAGAAACAGACAGAAGCATGTCAGTGTAGTGTGTGTGTGTTCAGGTACACCCACATCGAGGCTGAGTGTCCCTTCATGACCTATGAGGATCTTCTGAACCGGTTGGAGGATCTGGTGTGTGACGTGGTCGACAGGGTCCTGAAGTCTCCTGCTGCGCAGCTGATCTACGACATTAACCCGGTATGACCCCTGACCTCACACTGAGCTTCACAGTCACAGAAAACCTGGAAATATCATAATATTTGACATTTTAGGCCTGGATTATGTTATTCAGGCATATAAAATTCATGGAAATTAACTTCACCATCATTGTAGATGTTGATTTTTATAGTTAATTTGTAAAATATCTTGTCACGTAAAATCAGTTCTATCATTAATGTAGTATTATAGTATTTATAATATATTTTTTATTTAAAGAATATTTATTTTATGTTCAAGTTTTTGTAACTGTTTTTGATTTTTATTAGTTTTTGTTTTTTAAAAACTATTTTATTTATTTTTATTCCAGTTTTAGTAATTTTAGCACTTAAACGTTAAATGAAAATTGGCAACTTTTTTGTCTTTTATTCTATTTCAGTTAAGATTTATTTTTATTTTATTTCAATTAACATAAATATTAGTTTTAGTTAATGATAACAACATTGCCAGAAACTGGAAGGGTTATAGAAATTCATCAAAAAAAGTTTTTTTTTTTTTTTAAACCTATTATTATTTTAATTTTTTTCTTTTTTTTTTTTTTCAGTTTTAGTCATTTTGGCACTTCAATTTTAAATGAAAATTAGAAATTTTGCCTTGGCAACTGAACAAAAATTAATAAAATAGTTTTGTTTAGTTTTTGTTTAATTAACTTTTTTTTCAATTAACATACATTTTTAAAAAAATATATACTTTTAGTTTTATTTAATGAAAACCGTTTTTATTTTATAAGTTTTTAATTCATTTTTATTTCAGTTTTAGTCATTTTAGCACTTCATCTTTAAATGACAATTATAAATGTTGCCTTGGCAGCTGACCAAAAATAATAAGATAGTTTAAGTTCTTTGTTTGTCTAGATTAATTTTATTTTACTTCATTTAATGGAATTAAATTTTTTTTTTAATTTTTAGTTTTTGTTAGCAATACCAACATTGTTACAAATGACTGGAAGGGTCATAGAAAATTGGTCAAAAGGTATGGAAGCTCTTAAATCTTTTTCCTCTCTCTCTTGCAGGACTTCAAGCCTCCCAAAAGGCCATTCAAGAGGATGAACTACACCGAAGCCATCGAGTGGCTCAAAGAGCACAACATCAAGAAGGACGATGGGACTTTTTATGAGTTTGGAGAGGTGTGTTTTATTGGATCTCATATGTTATTTCCAAGAGTGCTCAACTGCAAATGCTTGGATATTTGACCGTTTGTGTGTGATTTCTGCAGGATATCCCAGAAGCCCCTGAGCGACTGATGACCGACTCTATTAACGAGACCATCCTGCTGTGTCGCTTCCCAGCCGAGATCAAATCCTTCTACATGGAGCGCTGCGCTGAGGACCGCCGCCTCACCGAATCGGTCCGGATCCTCACTAACAATCACAGTGTTTAAATATGCAGATATATGGACCAATGAGTTACCAGAACAAAACTCAAGCTACATAAAGAAAAGACATTAATATGCAAAAGGACAAAAATGTCGGTATCAGCAGAGTTGTGTTCTAATTGGCTGCTGTGTGTGTGTTTGTCAGGTGGATGTGCTGATGCCTAACGTGGGTGAGATCGTGGGAGGCTCCATGCGTATCTGGGACGCTGAGGAGCTCCTGGAGGGGTATAAGAGAGAGGGAATCGACCCCACACCCTACTACTGGTACACCGACCAGGTATAGTTCATACAGACTACCATTCAGAAATTCATACTCCTATTCATCGGGATGCATTACAGTGATTAAAAGTGGCAGTAAAGACATTCATAATGTTACAAAAGATTTCTATTTCAAATAAATGCCGGTCTTTTGAACTTTCTATTCATCTGTGAATCCTGAAAAATAAAATGTATCACAGTTTCCACAAAAATATTGTGCAGCGCAACTGTTTTGAACATTGATAATAATCAGAAATGTTTCTTGAGCAGCAAAGCAGCATATTAGAATGATTTCTGAAGATCATGTGACACTGAAGACTGGCGTAATGATGCTGAAAATACAGCTTTGATCACAGAAATAAATTACAGATTAACAGATATTCACATAGAAAACAGCTATTTTAAATTGTAAAAATTTCACTGTTTTTATGTATTTTTAATCAAATAAATGCAGCTTGGTGAGCAAAAGAGACTTTCAAAAACATTTAAAAAATGACCTTGATATTTATGTATTTGGTCAGAAATTGTCAAAATTTTAAGTAGACATTGTTGGCAAGTAGAATCACCAAGTTTAATGTAAATGATAATTTATAATAATAAGTTTAATGTATTTAATAATTAATGCATGTTTGCAGGAAGAATACTGAATCCTTTTATTTTACATTCACATGCACCATTATAACAATGCCTAGAATCAAGCACCACTATATTTTTTCTTAAAATATTTTAATATATGAATAGTTCATTTGCAAAAACCGATAACTCCATTTTAATTTTTTTTTCAGAAATCACGTTTTTTTTTATTGCGCATTCCAAGTAATATCAATCAAACTGCACTTGGGTTGTTTTGATTGAGTAATAATAACTTAAACAAATACAGGTAACTTACAAAATTAAAGTTCATTGAAAGTATGTTTTTTTTTTTTTACATATTAAAAGCTTGTTTTATAACAAAAGCAGATAACTCCACATTTCATGTTTCAGAGTTAAAAAAAACACTCGTTTAATCTTTGTAATTTCCTCAAATGATAATGTAGACGCCTGACAAACGTTGTTGTTGTGATCATAAACTGCATGGTTGTGATTTTACGCAATACACGGAGCTTTTCCCTCACCGTTGTAACGCGCTGCTTTTGCAAGCTTCCGTGAAAAGGTTTCTGCTTTTATTTTCTTTTTTCGCCCTGAAGAAGATATCACAGGTTCATCAAGTTTGTCGAAATTATCCTCGATCACTTTTAGTCAGCTTTGACGAAACTCCTCTCAGCTAGCACGTCTTTTCAAAGTGAAAGTAGCCTTGTCACCTGACCTGAATACAGCGCGCTGATTCGCTAACATGGACTTATCGGCTTCTGTTCAAAAACAGCAAGTGTGCTTGTCGGCTTCTGCAGTAAAATGTGAACTCGCGATGCCTTGAAAGTGGACAAAACCGGCTTTTTTGACAAAACGTGTTTAAGGTTCAGATCGCGCTATAATGTGGAGAATAATGCACGGCAATCAGTTCATTTTTTTTAAAGTGGCGTTTATCGGTTTTTGCAAATAAACTCTTCATATGGTATGCCACGTGGAAACTTCTATGCCTTTTTTTTTGAGAGAGAGATAATGCAAATGTTGTTTATAAAAACAAACTAAAAACTAAGATTTGATTAATCGAAATACACTAGAAAAAAATTTACTTTGAAATAAAAAATTGCTTAGAAATTGGTAATAAATTTCACAAATAATTACAGAAACAGCAAGTAACACACTGAATTAAACATTAAATTTTGACAGAAAAAAAGACTGAAATAATATTTTTCTTTTAAAACACTCCGATAATCTTCAACTTCATTTTACAGTGTAGTTTGAAAATAATACTGTCGTTAAATTTGACAAAAATGCTACCAAAATCATTGCAGATGTTGAGTATATTGTCCAGCTGTTTGTCATCCGCGTGTGACTGTTTGTGTGTTTCAGAGGAAGTTTGGCACGTGTCCTCACGGCGGATACGGTCTGGGTCTGGAGCGATTCCTCACCTGGCTGCTGAACCGCCATCACATCCGCGACGTCTGCCTGTACCCACGCTTCATTCAGCGCTGCCGGCCTTAAGCACACACACACACACACACTCACTCATTATATAATAAATAATTTAATAAAAAACAAATTAACAAAATAATTTGCTTTAACATGCAAAAATATTTTTCATTAGCCCTGTGCTTTTGTCATATAACAAAATTAATTATTAATTGACACGGTGACATTAAATATGGAGGTCAAAACTGCAGAAACTGAAAATAAAATAAACTTTAAAAATATATTTATTATGTGTTTTTGATAATTGATAGACGTTAAATATGGAGGCCTAAACCCGCAGAAACTAAAAATAAAATAAATGAAAGAAAGAATAAAAAATAAAATGACAAAGAATTTAAAAGGTTAAAAAATAAATACTGAAAATAATATATTTTTAAAAAATAATAAAAATGACAAAGCCTATATCAAAATTACTAAAACTTAAATCTTAACTTAAAACTTAAAATATTAATAAATACTATAATAGTATATAAATAATTACTAAAACAACACTTTTGTTTTTTCTCAGAATAATGCAGAATTCATAATTGGATAAAAAATATGCTTTGTATTTTGTGGCTCTAAGATATAAATTAAAGAGATTTAATTGTCATTAAAAATATTATCACAATGGAAAAATTTAAATATCTTTATGTAAAATATAATTTCATTTTTTCCCCTATAAACTTGATCTGCAAGTGTGTTAAACATGCATGTTTTTGATGTTTGTGTTGTGTGTGTTTGTGCAGTGGTCAGGTGGAGTCCGCCGGTGAGTTTGTGCACGAGTGTGTTTCTCAGACGGCAGTCGACGGCCGCAGCAGCAGCGTTCGCCAGCTCCGCCGCTCCAGAGACTCAGGAGAACAGGTACAGCGTCTCCTGACCTCATGAACATCCACTCAACGCCTGCTGGGAAATCAGCCGCTCACACTAACCTCCACAAACAACAGCTTATTCTCTACGTCTGCGGAAAAACACCTGCTGCTGATGCTGTGGAGCAGAAGGGTTGCTTCTAGTTGTTTTCAACATGTTTAATAATAGAGTTTTGATCATCAGAACAAGTGAAGAACGTTTATTTCCAGAACCTTTCATGTACGAATGACACTTTAAAAGATTTTCACATTATTTCTTACTGTTGCAGTAAATTGTGAATATGGGCTTTTGCTTTTCAGTGCTGTTAAACATTAAAAATATTAAAAATTAACTAAAAAACAAAAATATAAATTGAAATAAAATATTATATTGAAAACCTAAACTTAAAAAATGTAACCAAAAATTAGAAATGTTGCCTTGACAATTAACTGAACTAAAATAATTGTGTGCAGGATTACAAAAATTACTAAAACTGAAATAAATACAAATTAAAGGTTAAAAATGACAAAAGCACAATCGTCAATATTTTGTGGGTTTTGCTTTTCAGTGTTGTTATTGCAAACTAAAACTATTAACAATAGTTAATTGAAAAATTAATTGAAATAGAGCTGAAATAAAATAAAATAGAAATATTATATGACAAAACTTTAACTTAAATGTAGACAAAATTAGAAATGGTACACTGACAACTAACTGAAATGAAATGTAAAAAAATAATACTTTTAAAACATTTTATAAAAAAGTTTTTTAAATTAAGTTTATGGTTAAAATTAATTAAACTGAAATAGATATAAATAAAAGGTAAACAAATATTTAAAATAACCCAGAAAATTATTATAACTTAAACTACAATTAAAATGAAATTTGAAAAAAATAAAAAGCTAATTCAAAATATCAATAAATATGCTATTAATAATGTTATATAATTAATACAAAAACAACACTTGTGTTTTCTCAGAATAATGCATTATTTATAACTGGATAATAAAAGATGTCTATTTTGACATTCAAAGTGGTTTTTGAATGCTTTATTTTGCATTTATGAAGTATTCAAGAAATGCAAAGCAAGAAAATACGTTAAGTTCTGAAATATTTCCTCCTCTGCTTGTTCCTGTGCAGAAGTCTCTTTGGGTTTAGTTTAATTTGGACTGGATTTGAATCCAGAACTTCTCAGTCTGTCTCAAGTAGGGTTGCAAAGGGGTGGAAAATTTCCGGAACTTTCCAAAAATCCCTGGAATAGTCCAAAAGATCCTGGAATGTTTCCGAAATTTACTGGAAATTTCCCACCTTTTTGCAACCCTAGTCTCAAGAGATCCGCTCGACTCAAACCCGTTGCATTCGTTTCTTCTGCAGAAAACCCAAAACAGGGATTCTGATGCTGAACATGGGCGGCCCGGAGAAACTGGAAGACGTGCATGATTTCCTCTTACGGCTCTTCATGGACACGGACCTCATGCAGCTTCCTGTGCAGAAGTAAGAGCGATCCTTCATAGAAACAAGCCCTGGAGGGGTTATAACCATAGACTGTATAAAAACATGGACGTAGTGTCCGACGAGCGTTTTGAAGCCTAAAGTAGGCGGAGCCAGCCGTCGCCATCTTGGCAGCGCGTCACCGCGTGTCACTCCTGTCCTTGTTGGCTTCACGAGAGAGAGCGGGAGGTTGCCGCTCGGTTATAACTCCGTAAAAGAGAAACCTGAAACACCTTTTATAGCTTCTCGCGTGTTTTTTATGTCTGTTGCAGTAAACTCGGCCCTTTCATTGCTAAAAGACGAACCCCAAAGATCCAAGAGCAGTACAGTAAGATCGGAGGAGGATCTCCAATCAAAGCCTGGACCACCATGCAGGGAGAAGGCATGGTCAAACTGCTGGACGAGATGTGTCCCGAGACGGGTGAGAGCCAAGGGCGAACGCTTACATGCGCTCAGAGATAATACACAAATACAGCGGCAAAAAAAAATAAAATAGAGATAAATAACATTAAATATATATATTTTTTAAAATGATTAAAAAGGGGTCATATGATGCGATTTCAATTTTTCCTTTCTCTTTGGAGTGTTACAAGCTCTTGGTGCATAAAGAAGATCTGTAAAGTTGCAAAGACTAAATGTTCTTTTTAGCAGCATCATATGACCCCTTTAAAATAAATAGAAAATACAAAAATGTATTAAATAAATAATAAAATTAATTGTACATAAAAAAAAATTAAAAATGCTTTATATTAACGCAATAAGCCCCAAGAAGCCGTGGTTATAACAGTGCCTAAAACCCCCTTAGCTGTTATAAATTCACTATAAACCACGGCTTCACGGGGCTTATTGCTTTTATAAAATGGTTATTCCATATACGTAGTAAGGTTTCGCAAAATAAAACAGAGCAAATAAATTGTAATGATATTAATAAAAACCGCATTCTTCCACCAAACAATGTAGTTCCTCAGAAACAGTTGTGGTTGCAACAAAGTGGTTGCCAAGCAACACACAAA